TGTTCCTATTGTTGAATTGATCATACCTAAGATACTACCAAATAAAGATTCTTGCACTAATGACCATCTTGATGGAACTACTTTATTGTTATTTAAAGATAAATAACTCATTGCTAATACTAAGAAAGTAACAATGATTAAGTATAATCCAATGTTTGTTAATGAGAATTTTGCTCCTAAAAGCGGTCCACCAAAATAGAAGAATTCTTTAATTTCGAATTGTTCTAACGGATTCATGTATACAGTAGTGTTTAAAGTAGACATATTTATTGTGTTATAATACTTATTATTATATACTAATAGTTTTAATAGCCACTTTATTTTAAACTTGCCAAGTTTTGATCTCTAAGGAAGCTGGCAACTCGGGGATGAACCTCGAAAGAGTTAGCTAAGTTTATTTTTTCTAAGGATTCTGAGGAATGCCGTTTGCCAAAAAAATCCTTTTTTTTCAGCTGTTTTACCGAACATCGGACTATTTTGACCTGATTTTCTTTAGACAATTTCCTCTAATTGTGGTTTTCCTTAAAGAGCATGATTAATACCTGTTCTATTAAAGAAGGGATTATTTTCCCCCTTAAGGACTTCACTTATTTAAGTTTTAATTTTGTCCGAACGTATCTATTCTAAAGAACTACCAGCAATTTTTTGGATATTGTATTCAGGCGCCGCCAGCCCCCGTAAGAGGGGCATCTTAAAAACAAGTTTTAATTTATTTATTAATTAAAACAGCCTTTGGCTCGTTAGAGACACAGGCGTGCCGCAGGGAAGTATAAAATAAAGCGGGCCGTGCCGGAGGGAAGGGCTCAAGGTATCTAAATAATACTGTTCTCTCTCAAGAATAAGATAGAGAATAAACCCTTACCTAACAATTTTTTGTGTCCGTTATAGAGAGACAAATTATTATTTTCTTTAATTAGCTTCTGAGCCTTGTTAATTAACCCCTGTCCGAGCCCCTCGGCGTAGGATGAGACGCAGAACACAGATAACCGAATGTCCAGTCCCTTTTTGGGGCTGGGGCTCCGATTATCGAAGTGATGCGCGAACCGTAGACAGCTGAGAGTCCTTGTTAATTCTTATCCCAAATTTATTTTAGGATTTCTGAATTCTTAACAGTAAACTATTTTTTTTTAAGCATAAAATTGATAAACATTTTAATGTAATATATTCTTAAATACAATCAAACCCTGCCAGTCCGTCGCTCTTATTAAAGAACTAAGCAGGAGGGGAAAAAATAAAAGTAATTCCTATTTAAAGTCCTTTTGATATATAATAATAAACCTAACATCCAATATACTCCAATAACGATTATTACTAAATAAAACATGATTTGATCATAAGATCTACAATTCCATCGAAAAATGGTGATGCATCGTCTTGTAGCCCAATTTTCCAGGGTTCCGGGGGCAAAAGAGGGGGGGGGGTGTTAGATTTGTTTTATGTAATTTAATGGATTAGCTAATAGTATATTGTAACTCTCTACTATTATTCCTTTGTAATTAAGGATGTAGACAATATCCACTGTCCTTTAAATACTAAACCATTTCGACTATATCTCATTATAGTAGAGTGTGAAGTCTCTAGGTATTCAGCTGCTTTTCTTCCTGAATTAAAAGTATTGATAAGAGAAGATTTGTCAGAAGTATAGAGATATATAGTTCTACCTTTAGCAGCACTCATTTTTTCTTTCGTCTCAACTGAATGCAATAAACTTCTACCGTACATTGAATTATTTCTACCTGAATTAGCAAGACTTATTAAAGCTCTAGTTTTAGCAGAATGGGACTTACCATACCTTGAATGATTCTCACCTGAAAATTTAGCAAGTGATTCAGGTGTATGTTTGTAACCTAAAGAATTACCTGCCATTTGAAGAATATTCATAGCAGGTTTAAGGACATCTATATAAAATTGCTCTCGATTAGTACAATCTTTTTCTTTACAATACTCAAGAATAGTTAACGACAAATTAGAGTAACCATTCTTTAATAAAGATGAGCATATTTTACTTTTACCTATAGCAGCACTAGAAATATATTTATAAGAATAATATTCCTTTAATCTTCTATTTAGATTAATAGAACTCCCCACATAAGATTGTCCAGTTAATAGATTAATAAATTGGTACACTCCAGCTTTATTCTTACTATCCAGGATAATTCTTTCTTTATCAAGATCAGTATTATTATATACCATAATAGGAACAGTATTAGATAATAATATAGAGATATTAAAAGCTTCGATAATATCAGGGCTGGTAGAAAAAGAAAACATAAGATTACAGGGGAATAAAGTATAAAAAAGTATTAAGAAATAAAAGTTGAATAATTTGAATAACATTGTGATTTTTTAAAAATGGGTCTCGTACAAAAAAAGGAATTAAACCATATATATGTTACAACATCAATAGCCACTTATTTATTTAGCTATTTTAATTTTATACCGAATGGGTAAGGCGGAAATTGGTTTACGCGAGTTGTTTAGGCCAACTTGATTTTTATCATGTGAGTTCAAGTCTCACTACCCATAATTATATAAAATTTTACTACTAAACCTCCTTCAAGAAGATGGACTCTAAAGGGTTTTCCCCGATGGTTATAATCTGTTTGGTCCCGCCCTAAAGTTTAACTTATAGGGCTAAACATTACATAATAAAGGGATGGGTCCGAAAAGTTAATTTATTTTAGAAGGGTAACTTAAGTTATAATTAATTAAGGGGACATCGTATATCTGGTAATATATTGGTTTTGCATACCAAAGAGAAAAGTTCGAGTCTTTTTGTCTCCATAAATATCAAAAAATTTACTGAATAGACCCACAGGGGCTAGGTCGCTCCGCAGATCCCGCGGGCTTTTTTTATTTGTTAGATCCTTCGCCATTGTTGGCCCTTCGATAAAGGGTTCATGGTTTTTCTTCTTGACGGGTCCCCGCAAGCTTGTGGGGACAAAAAAACACCTGCTCCTACCTCCCCCCTCCGCATTTCTACGGAAGGGTCGTCGAGAAAAATATAAAAAACGGGACGATAATAAAGTCAAATTAATTTAATGGTTAAATACATAATTTGTAATCATTGAAATGTTTGTTCGATTATTCGAACGGGTTGAAGCCAAATTGGTCAGGCACCTAAATTGGGTTTAGGCACTAGTAAGTTCAAATCTTGCCAACCCGAAATTAAAAATAAAATTGAGAGGGATATTAAATTAAGAGGGGGTGTTAAATCAAATGTTTTGATTTAATAACTTTATTAAATGGTATATTAATCCCCTACCATTAGTACATTAATATTATCGCTTATTCCTTAGCAATAAAAGATAAAATCCATTTACCTTGAAATAATTGTTGTGTGAGGATATATTTCTTAATTGTCGTTGGAGAGCAATTAAAAAATTCGCCTGCTTTTCTAGTAGAACTAAAAATATAAGTAAGTGAGTCTTGAGTATCATAAACAAATACAGTAGACCCTTGTGCAACACTCATTTTCGTTTTAGATTCAGCTGAATGATTACGACCATACATCGCACTATTTTCACCTGAACGGGTCAGACTCATTAAAGCTTTAGTCTCAGCTGAATGAGTTTTACCGAAAAATGGATGGTTTTCACCAGTTCTATTCATACTTATCATAGCAAGACTCATTAAGGCTTTAGTCTCAACTGTGTGAGTTTTACCATAATTAGGATGGTTTTCACCTGATTTGACTTCACTCATTAAGGCTTTAGAATTTTCTGAATGGGAAAATCCTAGCGAAGAACCTGCCATCTTAAGTATATTATACTCAGGTTTAAGGGAATCAATGTAGTATTGCTCACGTTCTAGAATTAATTTTTTTGATTCTTCTAGAGATAAATTATCTATATTGATATATTCGAGAATAGATAAAGAAAATGCAGAATATCCATGTGAAAGTAAGGCATTACTTATATATTGATTTTTATTACGATTTAGACGTGATATAGAATAATACTGTCTTAATCGCTTGTATAAATCAACTGCAGAACCGATATATATTTTACCAGATTCTTTGTGAATCCATTGGTAGATTCCAGCTTTATTCTTATTCTCTGATAAAATAGACAATTTGTCAGTATCGGCATTAGAATAAATTATTATAGGGATTGAAAAGAATAATAGATTAGGTTCTCCTATAAAAAAAGAACCACCCAAGAAGATTAATGGGCTTTGTGAAGATAAAGTTGTTTGAAATAACCCTCCATGTATCTCTGAAATATAACACGACAATAGAGATACGATAAAGAGCAAATCTGTAATTAAGATTGTTGATAAATAAAGAGAAGCTAGTGGTATCGACATTACTAAAAAAATATATTTTAATATTATCATTATATATATTTATCCGGTGGTGGTCACCTTTTATCTATATTATTTATTGTCGAGAATACAGATAGTTCAAATCTGTCCAACCCGAAAATAAATTTTAGCAGAAAAAAGCCCGAGGCCCGCGCAAGTTATCGCAACCCTGGCTCCGAATTAAACAAAATTAGAAGAGAGGAGGGTGTACAATCAAAGCTTTGATTATACACCTAATTATTATTAATAGGCACTTTTAAATAAAACCTCCTCTAAGGAGGGAGTGATAAATAACTACCCCTGAGCATAGACCATAAAAACAGGCCTATGCCAAGCTTAAAGGCTTGGAGGGTAGTACCACTCACTCCCGGGCCAAACATTTTAGATTTAAAAAGTCCAATCATCCATTTCACCCCTTCGTTTTGAAGGGGAAACTTTACACCCTCCGTAAAAATGCGGGGCCAGTTGTAGGAGATAGGTCATTACCGGTCCGGGCAAATTTAAACCTGGTGGGATGCCCTCCTCTGTGGGATTAGTTTTTAAAAGAAGGCAGACTTTTTATATAAGGCTATTATTTGATTGTTTTTAACAATTAAACATTTCCTTTTTTTTAAGTCTTTCCTAAAAAAAAAATAAACCACTCCAGAATTAGGTGTCCTTTATCGGAAATAAATATATAAATATAAATATATTTAACCTGTTTGTCGAAATGGTATACGATGTTGAATTAAAATCAATTGCTTTAGAGCGTGTGAGTTCAAGTCTCACAACAGGTATTTTTAATTTAAATTATTATTTCTTTATTATATTTACAATATTAGAAGTATTTACTTATTTTACTATAAATTCATCTATAGTTATTGGATATTAAAATACGACGTTTGTCGTACCGAATAGATCCCGTCTATTCCTTAGGGATATCTCTAAGTTAACTTTTTTTATGTCCGAATAAATTAAAGACGTAGATAAAAACCATTGTTCTTTATATATTTTTCCATCTCTTACATATCTCATAATTAATTGATGATTAGTATTAAAAGATGCAGCCGCTTTTCTAGCTAAGCAAAAAGTATTAATGACGTGAGCCTTAAGTATCATAAATACTTCCTCCTCCTTTAGCTACACTCATTTTAGCTAAAGTGTCAGATGAATGAATACGACCTAACATTTCTTGTGGATTTTTTCCCCTGTTCTGTTTATTCTTCTCTGAGCTTCATTCATTTTAGCAATAATATCCTCACAAATAGATATCCCTAATCTAGGATGATCCTTATCAAGTATCCTAAACATTGGGTGATTTTCACCTGTTAAAGCTTAACTAATTTTGGCTTAAGTTTTCTGTGAATGAATAAAGCTTAACTAATTTTGGCTTAAGTTTTCTGTGAATGAATAAAGAATAATCCCATTATTTGCTAATGAAGAATAATTTTGGAATCCTGTGGGAATTGAGCGACATTACAATGAGCAGCAGGAAAAAAGTTCAAAAAGTTGAATAACATTAAAAAAAAATCTCGCATAAAAAAAGAAATTTAATCATCATTATATTACAACGAGAATGGCTACTAATTAGGTTCAATTATTTATTTACATTTTAAACTTTTTGATTACATCTAATAAATAAGATCTATCCTCTGGGCTGATCATCCCTCCGGGGAGATCTGGTGGAAAATAGTGATATGTGAATTTAAAGTGACGGAAGAAGAGGGATTCGAACCCACAAAGAGGAATCTCTAAGGATTTAGCAAATACTTTGTCTTGCCCATGACGACTCTTCCTATATTTATTAAAAAATAATAAAATACTTATTAAAAAACTATTATTTTATAAAAGGGGGGGGGTGTTAACACTAGTATTCTTCACTAGTGCTAACAATTAAAAATTATCAACAAGCTCCAACACGAAGCTATATGCCTGATAGTATATAACCCTACTATTATTCCTTAGTCTTTAAGAATGTTGATAAGATCCATTGTTTTTTATACAATATATTTTTATCTAAATATCTTGATAAAGTACTACAAGAAAAGTATAACGCTGCTTCTATTCAGGTATTAAAAGATTTATGCTACATAATCTTTTTTGTATTTAAATTAAATAAATAAATATATACTTTTTTACTAGCAGGATTCTTTTCACCTGTTTTTCCAAACATCGGATGTTTATTACCTGACATAGCATAACTAATTTTTACTTTAGATTCAACAGAATGACTGTATCCTTGATGTGTTATACTCATTTTAATTAAAGATTCTTTAGTATGTTTATAACCTAGAGAAGATCCTGCTATTTGAAGTATGTTATATTCAGGTTTAAGAGTATCTAGATAATATTGTTCTTGAGATATTAGATCCTTTGGTTCACAATATTCATATTAATTTAAAAATTCGGTATTCTCCCACTGAGATCTGTTTATAAAATATGATTTTTTCTTGCAAAGAATAATATATAAGGTCTTATAGATTTTTCTATCGGAATGGTTATTTTATAAAAATAACTTATATTAATAGTTTTATATAAACTTGAAATTAGATAAAATATAATAAATAACGTATTAATACCCGAGATTAATCTTTTTACCATAAGATTTATTTTTATAAATATAGATAGATTTCTGGGTGAAAAAAATCACCCATAGAGAAATCATGAGATTCGAACTCACATTTATAGTAAAATAATTTACTATTACTTTACCGGATTAAGTTAGATTCCGAATAAATGAAATCTATCATTAATAAAAGAGGAATTGAACTAAGATAGTGAAATAAAAGAGGAATTGAACTAAGATAGTGAAATAAAAGTGAGATAAATTTACTAAAAAATTTTTACATATCAATACTGTAATATAAATATTTAAATAAAAGGAATCAAAATTCTGAAGATTTAGCAAATACAAAATATAATTTATGACGATTTTTCCAAAAAAAATATCTAGTATATTATTTAATATACATAAAATATTAAGAACCTTCCTGTCGTACAAATTTAATAAAATCATTTTTATAATAAATTCCCTAGGGGTGATGATAAACTATCCCCCCTCTGAACATAGACCATAAAAATAGACGACATAAATCCTGTCCTACTGGAACAGCTCCTTTAAGTATTTTTATTAAATTTTCTGGGTTCGGTAGATTCAAATACGGTAAATTTGGGAACGGTAGATTCGAACTACCAATCTCTTAAATCAAAATTAAGCGTCCTGCCAGATTAGACCAGTACCCATCCATATTTATATAATGTATTTGATAAGACCTTACCCCTCAATATAATTTACAGGGTCCTCGGTAAGACTAGAATCACTAAATTTAGTAATTAAAACCCCAGGAAGGTGAGTTTTATATATAAAAACAGGAGTCCTGTTGGGGTGCCCGTATGTTTATAAAGGGCTCCTCCTGTCAGGGAGTATGGAATAAAGTCCAATTACCCCATTTCTTCGGTTCGAAGGGGGTAACTTTACTCTCTCCGCAGAAATATGGGAGCTCAGTTGAGGGTGATTGATTATCACCGGCCCGGCCCGTTTTATATTATCTTTAATAACAAATAGTTATTATAGTTTAACGGTAAAACGAGTAATTCATGCTTACTAGATAGAAGTTCAATTCTTCTTAATGACTTAAAAAAATTAGACTTTGGAAAAAAGAAAAGCTTCTTTTTTTTAGGGTTAAATTATCTAAGAAAATTAAATACTGTTGAAAATAATAAAGTGATTTTAGATATAAAAAAAAATATAATATTCCACAACCACCTATTAGTGATAATCTTCATTTAAATAAAATGATAGATAAAGCAATATATCTAATTCATTAATTTCTCTTGCTCTAACCGGTGGTAAAAATTCTAAATCTAAAAAAGTTTATTTGTATTCAAGTGAAAATCCTTTAATTTTACACAAGAAATTCGATACTTATACTTCTGCTGCAGAGTATATAGGTTGTCATAGTTCTCATATACGGAGAATTATAAACAAAGATAAATTATTTAAAAATAAGTGGATCTTACGTTCTAATTTACTTAATAGTGATTCATAATTATTAACACCCCCCCCCTTTCCCGGTCTTAACCACCCTTTATTATTATAAATATATATAATAGGGGATTAGTTTATAGGTAGAACACCTTACGTCATAAAAAGTAGATAAGATTAATTAGTTTAAAAAATTTTTTTGTATTTTTTTCTTAATTAGTCGAAGTCTTACTTTAAAAACAAAAATGTTAATATTAGAACTTATAATTTTAGTAGTAACGATACCACTAGCTTCTCTTTATTTATCAACAATCTTAATTCCAAGATTTGCTCTTTTAATATTTCTATCTGGTGCTTTATTATCAGAAATATTAGGAGGGTTATTTCAATCAACTTTATTTTCACAAAGCCCATTAAATTTAATCGGTAGTTTACTTTTTATAGATGAACCTAATATCTTATTATCATTAATTCCTATAGTAGTCTATTCTAATGCAGATATTGACAAGCCTAATATCTTAACCGCTGTAAAAGGAAAAGCTGGGATCTATATGTGGACTCATAAAGAAACAGGAAAATCTTATGTTGGTAGTGCTATAGATCTATCTAAACGACTATCTAATTATTATTCTATAGGTTATTTAACTCGTTATTCTAATAGTATTATATGCAATGCATTATATCATCATGGTTACTCTAAATTTAGTCTAACAATTCTTGAATATATTGATATCTCTAATTTATCAAAGCTCGAAGCCAAAAAATTGATACTTGAACGTGAACAATTTTATATCGATACATTAAAACCTGATTATAATATATTAAAAATTGCTGGTAATTTATTGGGATTTAAGCACTCTAAAGAAGCACTTTCTAAGATGAGTTTAGCAAAATCAGGTGTAAATAATCCAATGCATGGAAAAACAGGTGAAAATTGTCCTTCGTTCGGAAGAACTGTCAGTGAAGAGCATAGACAAAAATTAAGTATTATTAATAAAAATAAGAAATATAAACAAGAAACATTAGATAAAATTTCTCTTGCTTTAACCGGTGATAAAAATTATAAATCCAAAAAAGTATTTTTGTATTCAAGTGAGAATCCTTTAATTTTATACAAGGAATTTGAAACTTATACTTCTGCTGCGGAATACATAAATTGTAGTAGTACGCATATAGGTAGAATTATCGATAAGGATAAACTGTATAAAAATAAATGGATATTACGTTCTAGCTTGTTTAATAACGATTGTTAATTTTTAACACCCCCCCCTCTTCTATTAAGGTGGTTCTTATTCATTTTTTTATTTTATTGATTAAATAATAGGGGATTAGCTTATCGGTAGAGCAACTTACTTACAATAAGAAGAGGGAAGTTCAATTCTTCCATTCCCTAAAGATTCAATAAGATGGTGAAAATTCAATTCTTTCATTTCCTAATAGGATTAAATTTTATAAGTAAAATTATTGATTTTTAATAAAGACCGAGGCTAAGTCGCCCCGCGGGCTTTTTTATTTGTTAGATCCTTCGCCATTGTTGGCCCTTCAATAAAGGGCCCGACAATGATTTTTTCTCGACGGCTTCTAAGTTTACGAGAGTAAAAAAAGCCTGCTCCTACTCCCTTCCTCGCATTTCTACGGAGAGAGAAAAATAAAAAACGGGACCATTATAAAGGGGAGAATAAATAATATTTATTTGGAACTTAGTTATTGTTCTAATTAAACATTTGATAATAAATATTCTAAAGATTTTATCTATTTTTATTTATTTTTTTAATTTTTTAAAAATATATAACAGTATTGATATGTAATAAAAATTTATTTTTTGCTTGGTTATTCTTTTTTGTCAAAAAAGGTTTGATTCTTTTCTTGAGTCTATTTTAAAGGGATTCTTGACCCTACCGTGTAATATTGAGAATTTTTATAAAATAATAGTTTACCCTACAGGGACGGAAACGGATGCCATGTGCGCTCCAACGCGGATATAGTTACTTAAAAAGTTTGACAATTGCGTTTACTAACATTTTAAAGTACAAAAAACCATGACACGGCTACAACCATTTTTTTCAACTATCGAACAATCGATAGGTTATTTACATTTAGCAAAGATTCAAAAAATTATTAGAAAAGAATTAAAAGGAAAATCTGGTATTTACGGGTTCCTTTCTAAAACTAATAATAAATTATATATAGGTTCATCAAAAACATTACCCACTCGTTTCAATGAGCATATTAAGGGCTCTAAATCTAACGCTATACTTCAAAAAGCAATTAATAAATATAATTTACATGATTTTATATTTATAGTATTTGAATATTGTGAACCAGAAGAGCTGATATCTCGAGAACAATTTTATATTGATAATATAAATCCCGATTACAATATAAATCCAAGGAGCGGGTTTTTCACTAGGGTATATTCATACAGAAGAATCAATAAAAAAATTGTCCGATAAAATATTTTCTGCTGAAACAAAGGTGAAAATGAGTTTAGCTAAATTAGGAAAAAAATCATCCTAGATTTGGTCTAGCTCATAGTAAAGAAACTAAAGTTTTAATGAGTCTTGCTTTATCTGGGCAAAATCATCCAATGCATGGTAAAAACCATTCAGATGAGAGTAAGAATAAAATTAGTATCAGTAATGGTACTCCAATATTTGTATATCAAAATGAAGGATTAATATATATTAATAGTTTTCCTTCTGCTATTAAAGCTGGCAAACATTTTAATGTTTCATATCATACTATCTTAAAATATACAAAAAGCGGTAAATTATTTAAAAACGAATGGATATTATCTACATCTTTAATTTCTAAGGAATAATTTATAAAGGGGACCCAACGGGTTTTACCTTTTATTCATTATTATTAATTTAATAATAAAATTTTTATTATAAACACCCCCCCCTAAATCTTTTTTATAATTACGTTATATTTAAAATTATTGATAAAATTGATGATTAATTTTCATCAAAAATATTTATATTCCTCAGATATTATTATAATTTTTTGCTAAAAATTTGAGTCTTAGAGATATTATTATAATTTTTTGCTAAAAATTTGAGTCTTAGAAATGTTATTTTTATAATATATAACAGTATTGAGACTGTAATAAAAAAAATTTTTTTTTTGCTTGGTTATTTTTAACAATAGAAGTTTGATTCCAACGTTTTTTATAAAAATTTTCTCTCTTAGGATCATTATTAAAGGAAAGTCCAGAATATCAAAACTAATATAACTAGCTAAGTTTGCCCAGGCCGGTGATAACCAATCACCCTCAACTTTATTCTATACTCCTGACAGGTGGAGCCCTGCCCTCCCCCTTTGCAAACATGTAGGACACCCCGACAGAATTCCTGTTTTTATGTATAAAACTCACCGTCCAGGGGTTCTAATAAACTTTGCATTTCATAAATAATTTTATTTAATGCATCGCCTGTTCCAGGCGAAGCTTCGTTAATTTAAAAATAAACAATGCATCGTCTACCTTTGGGGGACGAAGCTTTTCCCGTACCGCTGGGAATGTATCATTCGATTTTACAGGGTAAAGCTAAAACATTTTATTTTTCTTAGTTAACCCGACCGGGATCTATTCTCTGGTTAGCTAATCAGAAAAGGTATTTTTTAAGCTAAGTTAAATTAGGATTAACAGTGTATTATCTCATTAGAGATAAAATTGTTCATAATTCTTTAATTTATGAATATATTTAATATCTTTTTTTTCTGATTCAAGATAATATTTTAATTAATCATTAAAAAATTGAGGTACTTTTAAAGAAATCAAATCTTTTACTAATTTTCTTTAAGATTAATATAATTTTTTTATAATATAAATAAAAAATAAAATATACTCTTTATACAATACAAAAGAAAATTATGTCATTAACCTTTTCCACTGCCGAGGATTTATAATAGACAGATTTAGTGATTAATTCAGTTTATACCTTTGTAAGTATATAATAGTTTATTCATTTTAATAAATAAGAGCCCCGCACGCGCCAAAGGCGCGAGAAAAAGTTAAACCTTGACAAATATAAGAATGTTAATATAAGACCTATTAAATTTTAGCTCTTTAAGAGTAAGATGTATTGAATTACCTTTTTTTATAAGGAAATATTTGCCCGGGCTGGTGATAACCAATCACCCACAATTAGAATTATCCCTTTGAAATGAAGGGGGGGTAAAATGGGTGATTGGATTTTATTTCATATACCCTTTATAACAGTCCTGTCTGGGGACCTGGCAGGTGGAGTCCTCCCTCCCTTTACAAACATGCGAGCACCCCAACAGGGCTTCTATTTTTTATATATAAAACTCACTGTCCCGGGATGTTTAACTACTGAATCTGGCTTATAATAATCTAAGAAACTCCCCCCTACAAACTGATTTTTTATTTAGATTAAGGGATTTATTATTTAAAAAGGTTTCAATCCATTAATTATTTAAGAAGATTTCAATCCATTAATTATCTTTTATTTGGTCTTTTAGTTGAAAATTTGCTATTGTCTCAATTTTTGAGTCACTTAAAGAATAACAAACATTAGAATATCTAGATCCCTGGGAGGATTAGTTTTGGGAGATCGAGCTTCTTAGGGCTAAATGATATGTTTAAATTACATATATAGTAATATTCTAAAAGATAATAGGTTAGTGTATTAAATAAACTCAAATACTCTCCTTAGAATATATTTAAGAATAAAAATAATTTTTATTAAAAGAGCTGATTAGGTTAGTGTATGACTTGAACATACATTTTTAAGCTTTGCAGACCAATACATTACCAGTTATGCTAACTAACCATTTAGTATTATTTATTTAGAAACTAAATAGCCGTGTCAAATTATTTAGTGAATTTGGAAGGGCACCCCAGACGGTGTTTAGCTAAAAATTTTAAGAGTCGGCCCCGCAAAGCGGGCTTTTTAAAAGTAATGATTGCCCGACTGGGCCACGTAGCGGTCCGGGCTTAATAGCATATAACCCTACTATTATTTAAGTCGCTTATTTCTTTGATGAGGATAAGAGCCACTGTTTTTGAAATAATTAACCACTTTTTACATATCTAGCCTTTCGGGTCTTGAAATTAAGATTGTTGATAAAAAAAGAGAAGCTAGAGGTATCATTAGTACTAAAATTAAAATTTCTAATAGTTACATAATTTTATTTATCATTATCTATTTACCTTTTCTTCTTTATAGCTATTAATTCCTAAATATAACCCCTATCCTGAAGCTGAACAAGAATTAATAAAAGGAATATTACTGTCAAGATGTTGGGGGGGGGTGTATATTAAAAACTTTATTAATATATTTCAAAAGCTTTAATGATACACGGGATTAATATTGAGAACGCTATAACAATTGGTAACATTTTAGACCAGATTGCTCCCATAAGTTGATCATATCGTAATCTTGGAAATGAGGCACGTATCCAGATGAAAAGGAATAGAATAAACGAAGTTTTGAATCCAATAGATAAACCTGTAATTAACCCATTAGATTCTACACCTGGTACTAAATATCCACCTAAGAATAAAATTGAAGATAATGTACTTAGGAATACTATAGCTCCATACTCGGCCAAGAAAAAGAATACAAAAGGGAACGCAGAATATTCAGTCATAAACCCTGCTGTTAATTCTGATTCTGATTCTGGTAAATCAAAAGGTGCTCTATTACTTTCAGCTAATATAGCTATTAAGAACATTAATGCTATAGGAAATAATGGTACAATATACCAAATAGCTTTTTGAGATTCTATAATTACAGTTAAATTAAATGAACCTACAAAAAAAATCACTAATAAGATTATTAACCCAAAAACTACTTCATAACTTACTAATTGTGCTGTAGCTCTTAAAGAACCTATAAATGAATATTTATTGTTTGAGGCCCAACCCGCTAATATAATTCCATAAGCTGCCACTGAAGATATAGCTAAAATTGTTACAATACCTAAAGAAAAATCAGCTATTACTAAACCTTTTCCATACGGTATAAGAGTCCAAACTAATAAACCACAAACTAAAGAAATCATAGGTGCTAATACAAAAAGTATTTTATCTGTATTTGAAGGTAATACTAATTCTTTAACTAGTAATTTTAAGGCATCTGCAAATGCTTGTAATAACCCATAATACCCTACTTTGTTAGGCCCAATTCTTCTCTGCATACTTCCCATTATTTTACGTTCTGCGATCGTTACATATGCGATAGAACCTAATAAAGGTCCTATTACAATTAATGCTTCTAATAATGAATTTATCATATTATTAATTATTTAATTCTTTATCTCCGGAGCCGGGACCCGTGGTTACATGCGCGGGCCCGGATTTAATTCTTTTTAAATAGTCAATTAAAAGGAATATTATTTTAGAGACCTTACTTATCATCATATCCATTGTCCCGGGTAAAGGATGGACAAGCCAAAATTTTACTAACCAGGATTTTATGCAGTTACCTTTAATCGAAAAAGGAATATCGCTTTGGAAGAGCACTAGTTTACCATTAACTTATAACTGCTTATATACAAGTATATCAATTCAACGGAAATAGACACTTCTGGTTATTTTTTTTTAAGGGGGTACTTCTTAATTATAGTTTGTATATAATAAGCATTAATTACATAACCAATTTATCAGGATAATTATATTAAGGCGATTAAAGTTTAAAGTTCAAATTTACACGCACTTTTTATTAAATGGTTCTTTTAAGTATATTTAAAATATTTTATTTAATTACCCTCCCCTGCACGCTTGCGAGGGGGGGGGGAGAGGGCTGATGAAGAACTACCCCTGAATATAGGCCTTGAAAATAAACGAAGTTTCCCGGAGGAGTCTTTCTGGGATGCATTTTATTTAAATAATTTTAAAATTCTTCCCTTTAGAAAAGGGAAGATGCATTTACTAGGGTACAGAAGAAGCTATTTTTAGAAACTCCCCCCCCCCCCCCCGGGGCTCGGTGAGCCTTATCACCCATTTCACCCTACTAAGTCTAGGGGCAACTTCATAGAAGTTGTGGATGATTAGTCATCACCGGGCCGGACTTTATATAAAATATATAGAATTTTAATTTTCACTCACCTGGCCCGTTTAGATAGCCGGGATTTTTGAATAAAAAAAATATTGATCGTTAATATTCTTTCTTATAAAGAAAAAAACGGGAAAGGTATAAACACTTGAATGGATTTGAACCACTATTACTAAGTTTCGAAGACTCATACTTTTCCAGTTAAGTTACAAGTGCTTAATTAAAAATCCCGGCACGATGAGTTTTTATGTGTTTACATTACCCCGAGGTAATGAGGAATAACCTCCTGATAATAGGCCTTTAGGCCTATATCAAGCCTAAAAAGGCTTGGGAAATAGTACCCAATGTTATATTTATATTCTTAAAAACGTATCCCTCCCGGGCTCCCCCGCAAATATTTGACTAATCGCATGTAGTAAAGAGGCTATTTTAGGTATAATTAGTATTTTATAAATAAGGCGATTATAGTTCAATTGGCAGAACGGTAGATTGTGGATCTATATACCAAGGTTCGAACCCTTGTTTTCGCCCTAATTTATAGGAAGCTTCAAATATTATCCTAAAAGAGGTAAATTCCTTAAAAACTTTTTTTTAAGATGATAAGTTTCATCCACCGGAGGTGGACAATGCATCCCGGAGGAAGGAATCTCAAGCTTTTTAAAAATTATTAAAAAAAGCTTCACCCCTGACAAGGGGCGATGCACCCCTCCGGGATCCCTCTGGAAAGCTTTATGAACTTTACTGAAATTCAAAGTCATCAAGGCTTATGGTAAATAGATAAGGTTTAATCTTTAATTGTTAAGAGGTCTAATATAAATCTTACCAGAAAAGTGTATATAACAAGAATTGATTAAAAGATAGTTTTATAAAAAACATGTCTTAATTGACAGGTTACTTTTATGTATTTCAATGATTGCTTTTATAATAAATTTTGTCTCTGGGATTCCAGAAATTTTTTCTTCTTTGGCTTTTGCTAGTCCAGAATTTTCAATAGATAATTCTGATATATTTTTATTGTTCTCTACTGCAGTTCCTATTATGATATATAATAATTCTGATCTTGATAAAGAAAGAATTGTTCTGGATAATAAGAATAAAGCTGGTGTTTATCAATTTATTAACTGAAGAATCTTATGTGGGTAGTTCTACTAATTTAAGTGTAAGATTTAGACAATATTATAATTACAATTATATTTCTAGTCCCACTAGAGGTAAAAGCGTAATATACTTATCCATTTTAAGAAATGGTTACTCTAACTTCAGCCTTACTATCCTTGAGTATTGTGAAATAAAAGATTGTATTAATCGAGAACAATTTTATATAGATGTCCTTAAACCTTCTATGAATATACTGCAAATGGCTGGTTCTTCTTTAGGATTCAAACACTCAGAAAAAACTAAAGCTTTAATAAGTCTTGCTAATTCAGGTATAAATCATCCTTTATATGGTAAGAAACATTTAGCAGAAACGCTTGCTAAAATGAGTGAATCTCATAAAGGTAAAACAATTTCTGCTGAAACTAAAGCTTTACTCAGTAAAGCCTTATCAGGGGATAATCATCCTAGATATGGTAAAGTACATTCGGCTGAAACTGTGGCAAAAATTAGTGCTGCTAGAGGAGGAGGAATTATATTTGTTTATGATTCTAAGGGTTCACTACACAATACTTTCACTTCCGCTCGAGAAGCAGGTATATATTTTAATTGTACTCATTCTACTATTTTAAAATATTGTAGAAATGGTTTAATGTTTAAAGGACAGTGGATATTGTCTACATCTTAAATTTCTAAGCAAAGTTAACTCAGACAATGAGGGATAGAAGCACACTATTCAATACGACAAATGTTGTATTTTAACACCCCCCCTCCATCACAACAGGTACCAGCGAGGGGCACGTGGGCCGATTTTCCGAAGATTATATTTGGTCCCTCGTCCCGCGAAAGAGGGCCGAGATTTATGAATTTAGCTTAACTGGATAAAGCACATGAATGGATTTGAACCATTATTGTTAGACTTAGAAGGTCTATACTTTTCCAATTAAGTTACACGTGCTTTTATATTTAAAACTAGTTAGCCAAAATTAATATAAAGTGACTATGACCAAATAAGTATAAAGTGGCTATGACCAAATAAATATATATAATGAAAATATTCGAATTAACAATTTTAGTATTCTCGATACCATTAGCTTCTCTTTATTTATCAACAATCTTTCCTTCGGGACGAAAAACTTTTTTAATTTTTGTACTTACAGTTTTCTTATTAACAGAAGCTAATGTACATATAATAGAGCCGACAGAGTGGGTGTTAAATTATTTTAAGTTATAACCTTAAATAAAATAACATATTTATATTAATTCTTTAACATAAAATAATAAGTAAAAATTAAGAATTATCAAGCGTTCTTCTGTTGACTAAATAATATTATTACCTTATATTGATAATAATTAAATTATTTTAGACTTCAAAGAATCTTTAACATGAATACTCAGTAGTTAATAAGATCCATTGGTTTTTAAATAACTTATTTTTATCCACGTAATTAAATAATGTCCGTTTAGTACAATTAAAGTATTTTGATGTATCTAAATAACTATTAAAAGATTTATGTAATATCATCTCATTTGAAATAGGATCTAAAGAATAAACATATATTTTTTTAATTAGGGCTTTATAAATTTTATTCTTAGTTTCTTCAGATAAAAATTTACCGAAATTTGGATGATTTTTCCAGACCCGAAGAGGGCTTTATTTTATAATATTTTTTATATATTTATAAAAAACTCCCGAGGGTCACCCCACAAGGGGAGTTTTGGCTTAACTTATTTTAGTTAAGCTCTCAGGTGAATGTCTTGTTCCTAATAAAGCTTTACTAATTTTAATTTTAGTCTAAGTAGAACGATTAGTCCCTTTTTTGGCTTCACTCATTTTTACTATAGTGTCATGGAAAGAAGTTCGACCAAACATTGGGTTATCCTCACCTATTTTGCCATACATAGGATTATTTACACCTGTCAAAGCTTGACTTATTTTAGCTAATACTTCTTCAGAGTGTTTATTACCTAATGAAGAACCAGCTACTTTAAGTATATTGTATTCAGGCGCCGCCAGCCCCCGTAAGAGGGGCATCTTAAAAACAAGTTTTAATTTATTTATTAATTAAAACAGCCTTTGGCTCGTTAGAGACACAGGCGTGCCGCAGGGAAGTATAAAATAAAGCGGGCCGTGCCGGAGGGAAGGGCTCAAGAGTATCAAGATAATATTGTTTCCGTGAGAGAATCAATTTCCGTACATCTTCTTTCGATAAATTCGTTATATTTATTATTTCAAAAATGGTTACAGAAAATGTGTCATAATCATGATGAGCAAGTGCATTACATATATAAGAAAATCTCATTCGTTCTAAGTAAGTTTTAGAAAAATAATTATAAAAACGTAAACGTAAATCATATGAAGATTCTATATATTTTTTTATTAGAATTTAATTGAGTCCATTAAATATACCCCTGTTTTCCCTTGAGTGTCAGTTAAAATTCGTAATCTATCAATATTAGCATTTTCATAAAAAATTGCATAATTATTTGTACTAGATTTACTTCCATTATTGTTATTAGTTGAATAATGTCGAATTCCTTGAGAAATAGAATTAATATTAAATTTCTTAGAGTTCTGAACAAAGGGGGGGGGGGTGTTAATTTTAGGTTAAACTGACACGTTACTGAATATTGGTTCACATGATGAGATCCAAACTTTTACAGTAATTGCTCCATTTTTTCCTTTGAAAGAAAATTTGTTAGCATCAATTAAACTATTATTACTATTAAGGGATAAAGTACCTATAGATTTTCGTACTACTCTTGTACGACTAGCTGCTTTTCGATTAGACAATCGTCCCGAAATTTGTAATTTAACACCTGTTATATATTGGGGATTTAAAAAATTCTGAGAATATTTAATAAAATTATTAAATGAGTTTCTTGATTTATTAGTAGTTATATTGTCATTTTTAACTAATTTTGCTTTTTTAAATAAATTTCGTGATACCATATTAAATCTACCAGCTTTTATATTAAGAGCTATATATTGCGCCAAAATGTAAGAATTTAAGTAAGGATAATGAATTCTTACAGGTCTTATCTCAACGGGTTTACCATATAAATTAGATAATTTTAAAATTAAACTAGAAAATTTAATGGCTTTCAAAGGTGTTAAACCTTCTTGTAAAGATGATTGAATTCTTTTTGATTGTCCATAGGGATTTAATCGTTTTGACACAGGTAAATTTAAAAAATAATAAAAACTAATAACAATTTTATTAGAATCTTTATTAAATTTAGGTTTTGAAATTAAAGCAAATTGAAAATAATGTTTAATAACATTTAAAGCTATTTTATCTACACCCCAATAATTATGTTGTTCATTTTTAGAGTTAAAATAATAAGAGGTATTACCCCAATAACTTGATTTTTTGAGTCTTAAACTCATAGGATGTCTACTACCCATTTTATAATGTATTTCCTCTTTAATCCTAATTTTGTCCATATAAAATATCTAATCATAACTATAACCGTTACTAAGATGTCAAACGAACTAAACTCGCTTGTCTACAAGATATTTATGTGCCAGATGTCTGATTCGAACAAACATTTCGATGATTACAAATCATGTATTTTACCAGTTAAAATTAATCTGACTTAATTATTATTAAAAATAGTAATCCAATAAAAACTTCATTATTAAGATTTAATTTATTGGCCTAAGAATGTAGGGCCCGAAGAGGCCAATAATATGTGTTATGCCCTTGCGCGTCGGGTATTAATTTAGAATTCTAGTATATTTTTCATTGCCCTACCAAATATTATTGTTGGATCCTACTAAAACTTATGTAGATCTTCTATAGATTTATAGGAAAGAATATGATATCATATTAAAACAAGTTATAAATTAAAACTTGTTTTTAAGATGCCCCTCTTACGGGGGCTGGCGGCGCCTTATTAATAATATTTTAACTGAGGTAGGTTCTCCAGCAGGTCGTGTTCATTCAGCAGAAACTCTAGTTAAAATAAGTAATGTCATGTCAGGTGTAAATCATTTTAATTACGGTAAACTACTCTCTGAGGAAACTAAAGTAAAAATGAGTATTGCTCATACAGGGGAGAAGAGTTCTGTTAGTAAGAAAGTATTTGTATATTGTAATTCAACTCCTATAATTCTTTCTCATGAATTTGTCTCTTATTCAGAAGCTGCAAAACATTTTTCTTGTAGCATAATGACTATATCTAGACTCCTGGGAGGGGTTTCATTTTGCCCTACAGGCTCGAGCCCGAAAGGCTAGATATATCAAGAGTGGTAAATTACTTCAAAAATAGTGGATATTATCTACGTCTAAGAATTAATGATGCCTAATAATAGTAGGGTCACAATATACTATTATAAATAATTACTTGTTTAGACAGTAAATTTTTACTAAAGACCCTCCGCCGACCCAAACTAAATCATTTAACATCTCCCCCCTTTGTTTACCGATTCAAAAGACAGATTAATAAAAATATTTTTATTAATAGGGCAAGAGGATAAGTGTTTAAGAGGGCAAGTGGCTGAGTGGTTTAAAGCGTTTGGCTTGAAACTAAATATGTGAATAACATGCGGAGGTTCGAATCCTTTCTTGCCCGAAATATACGAGGAGTAAAGAATTATTAAAAACATAACTTTAACTCCCAACCTGACTTTTTTGCGGGGGGAATGAATGGTACTATCCTCCAAGCCTAAGAAAGCTTGGCATATACTAGCCTATGTTTATAGGTAGTTTCTCATCACCCCATAGGCCAACTTTATTAAATAAAGCCTAATCACTCATTTTATCCCTTTATATTAAAGGAACAACTTCTCGTCGGCCCCCTCCGTAGAAATGCTGGAGGGTGGGGTTGTGGGTGATTGGTCATCACCGGCCGGGCAATAAAGTAAGCAAAATATTTTCTTTACTTCAACCGGAATTGAACCGGTAATTCAACTGTGAAGGAGTTTTTATTTTGACTTCAACCGAAATCGAACCGATTACTCAATTGTGAAGGAATTGCTATTTTGACTTTAGCCGGAATCGAACCGGCAACTCTACTGTGAAGGAGTAGCGTCTTAACCGTTTGACGATAAAGCCTTTATATGATTAATTATTTAAGGGGCCTTGTAAAAAAAATAAGAGGGGGGTGTTTATATTAATTATATTTATTTATAACTAATAATAATTCATAATGGTATATTACCCCTACCATTATATAGGATCACTTTTTTATCCGTTTTCTTTTAATTAATCATTTATATCTAAGAATAGTCGTTATTTAACGTCTCCTTTATAGAACAAAGTATCCTTATTAGATAATATCCATTGTTCTTTAAATAACTTACCATTTGAGCAATATCTTAATATCGTTTTACTATCAGCATTAAAATATTTTCCTGCCTCTCGAGCAGAAGGAAATTTATTAATAAGTAAGCCATTTTCTGAATATGCAAAAATTGATATTCCTCTAGTAGCACTCATTTTAGCTTTAGTTTCAATAGAACGAGCTTTACCAAAATTTGGATTATTTTCTCCAGACTTAGCTCCACTCATTTTTACTTTAGTTTCTTCGGTATGTTTTTTCCCTTTAAGCGCTTCACTAATCTTTATTCTAGTTTCAGCTGAATGTGTTTTACCTAAAGAACTACCAGCTATCTTAAGTATATTGTACTCAGGCACTAAAGTATCAATATAATATTGTTCCCGTGAAAGAACTAATTTTCGGATATTTTCAAAATCTAAATTTGAGATATCTATATATTCAAGTATAGTTAAACTAAATGCTAAATGAGTATGATGGATTAAAGCATTACAAATATAACTATTTGTTTTTTTTAATTTTGAAGGAGAATAATAATCTTTTAATCGTCTAGATAAATCTACGGCAGAACCCACATACATTTTTTCCGATTCTTTATGGGACCATTTATATACCCCGGCCTTACCTTTATTATCTAACAGGATTTGTAATTTGTCCGTTTCTGCATTAGAATAA